TTAATAGGGACACAACATTTTGACCAGTTTCGGCAATTTTTCTTTTGTTCGTTTAATGTTTTTTTTTTTTTTTATAAAAATACAGCTCACTATATAGCAAAAATCATATAAGTCCAAATTTTAAACTATGTAGAAATATTAGAAAAATACAACAAAATTTTGCAAAGAATTTTTTTTGTGGATGGTGTTATTATTTTCGAACATACTTTGTATTCAAGAAAACGCATGACACCGTGAGGCAAATAAAAAATCAACGCAATTTCTTAGCCACTTGAAACTTGCCCTTAATAAAAAGTTTGTTGTGGCTGTGAAATTTTGTTGCATTTTTCTCTAAAGTTTGAATTTTGGACTTATATAGTGTCTGTTAGATAATGAACTGTATCTTTATAAAAAAAAAAATAATAAAGATTAAACTATTACAAGAAGAATAGCCAAAGCCGGTCAAAATGTCCTGTTAATATTATTTTTCACATGACTATATCTTAGAATATAAATTTCCAATGGATACCGCTCATTGCCGTTTAAGAGCAAACCATATGTACATATATGTTAACAGAGTTTATATACATATTTTCCATCTATGCAAAAACCTCGTGGCGGCAACATTATTGATATTTTAATATAAATGCAAAAATTTAGCTGTTTTCTATTGGAATATTTGTTATTAGGTATTTGCGTTTGAAATAGCATATTTTAAAAAAAAAAATTTAAGTGTATATACAATGGCACTCACCTAAATAGCACACTTTTATTTTTTATAATATTCGCAATATTTCACGTGATAAATTTATGTCGTTATTTTTTATAAAAATATAGTATATTCTATAACATAAACCACATAAATCAAGGTTTAAAACTGTGCACAGTTCAGGAAATTTATCAAAAAATTTCATCAACCTTTTTTTCAGATTTTTTAGAAACTTACTGGGTATGAAGTTTTGGCACGGCCAATTGAATTTTCATTTATTTCATTTTCATTATTTTTTTTATAAGTTCTATATTTTTTTTACGTTGCTTTCAGTTAGTTGTTGTTGACTTTTTACTAAAATTCTACTCTAAAAATTTAAATTAACTAATAGTAAAATAAAAAATGTGATGTAAAATAAAGCAAATGAAAACAAAATAAAGTAAAATTAAATATATAGATCAAATAAAATAAAATAAATAATAAAAACAAAAAAATTGTTCGCAATCGCTCCAACCGAGGATCGAACCTGGCAGCTATAGGCTTGTAGCCCGTAACTCTTACCACTCGGCTACCGCGGACGCGGAACTCGCGCGCTTAGTTTGCTTACTTGTACAAAAGACAAAATCTGGCCGTTTTTACCAGTGTTGTAATCGAAAATTCCCCGAATCCCAGTTAATTCCCAAAAATTTCGTGCATTTGTTCGGCTGCTTATGCGCATTTTAAAGAGGAAAATGCATGAATCAAAGCAAATAAAGGCTGTTTATGCAAATAATCGAGCCCGTTTGTCAACCGTATTATACAACACATATGCACATTATAATAAAATTCAGATATTTGGTTTAACTTTTTTCGGCAAAAAGCATAAAAGGTTTTTTTTTCATATTTATAAAAAAATGTGTTCCGGTATGGACAATATGTATTATGTACCTTCAAGCCGGTTTTTATTTTAAAGGTAAAAGCAAAAGCTAGAAATTCGTAGTTTTGTAAATTTATTTCCACTTTTTGTATTTTTTTATGAAAAAATAAATAAAAATTGTTTAACGGAAGTGTTTTCATCGAAACCCTTGAGAATTTACTCAGCGAATCAATTGCTTTACTTACAAAAAATACAACATAAATAAGTTATATTTTTTTTTTTTTGAGAAAGCAATAAAAATTTTTTATTGAATCAGTTATTTGACTCAAGAAAATTTATTGCAATAAAAAGTGCTAATTGATTTTTTTTACAATCAGAATTTTGATTGCAATCGAATTCGTAGCACAATCTTTGATTGCTAAACAAAATGATTGAAAGATTTTACAGCTCTGCTATGTACATACGTCTGTATGTAATTCCCAACAGCTACCTCAAAATTAATCACATGTTTCTCAATGTTTGGAAACACCATTCTGTTTACGCACAAGGGTTTCGAAAATGTTTCTTGGTTAACTTCAAATTTGAAATTGAAACTGACACCAAAGACACGTATATAAATATTTGCATACAAAATAGTAGCGTTTGTTTACTCATTTCCAGTAAAATCAAGTAAAAATGTTTACGAATTTTCATGTTTTGGCGTTTTCGTACGCAAAAACTTGCAAAGTAGGGGAAATTGAGAGAGCGAAAAATGACAGTTGAAGTTGCAAGTTTTTACTGGATTTTACTGGATAAATTTTTACTTGTAAGAATTTGCCAGTACGAAAAACAGCTGATCGCATGTTGCTAGATGAAATTTAAACTAATAAGGAAACTGTTTGTGGGTTTTTATTGTTGAATTTCACAAAATAAACCTATTTAAATATAAAATAGATTGTTTTATTAGGAATTTGCTGCTAATAAACAACCAATTTATCAGCTGTTCATGAAACTTGCAAATTATTACTGGAATAGCGTGCGCGTACTTTTTTGCAAATTTTTTCTATGAGAGCGAATTCTTAGAAATAAAGTTACTGGAGAGTTGCTGGCAAGTTACTGGATAATTTGTAAACAAACACAACTAATATGTACGTACAAACATACATAACATTATATACTTTCAGCATTTTCAGTGTTTCATTGAGTAAATTACATATAGATGAATTTTGTATGTACAATGTACATACATATGTACATGGATACATACATACATATATAGTACAAATGCATTTCTTTCATGTAGCGAATGCTAAAGAATGTGACAAAGTAACAAAAACAAAATATGAGATCCAAGTTAAGCTTTCGAATATCGAATCAAGTTTTGATTAGACAAAATTCAAGCTTCCAGAACAGCAAAACAGAATTGATCAATCGAATTAGCAGCAAACGAGACCCGGTAGCATTTCTATGTGTGTACATTAGAGTGGTCCAAAAAGAATAAAGTCGGAATTTTAATGCCGCCACCCTCTAGGATTGTTCTGAACCGAAAAAATATACCTCTATTTTTTATTATGAAATCAAAAATTATTTGGGGAGTGCTCACAGCGTTCAAAGTTTTCCATATATTCTATATGGGGAAAACAGCTTTTCGTAGAAATGGTATAAAATTCTTGAAAATCAATATTTTTCGATCGGAAAACTGTGGTTCTCTTCAGGACACTTCCAGTATGAATATCCAATTGTTTATTTAACCATTTTTTAATATTAAAGATGTTTTATTGGTCCCTCCATTGCATTTTCTATGAAATATAGTTACCATGAAAAAATGGTTGATGAAATAATTGGGTATTATTACTGGGAATCAATCGTCTGAAGATATGCAAAGTTTTCCGATACATGGGAATCTTTGAGCGCTTTGAGCACTTCCTATTTCTGTTTTTATTTCAAAATAAAAAAATACTGGTATATTTTTTTCGGTATAGAACAATCCTAGGGGGTGGCGGCATTAAAAGTCCGACTTTATTTTTCCACATACACTTTTGGACCACTTTAGTGTGCGTACACGCATGCTTCAATCCATTAGTTTTTGATAAAAAAAAAAACACTGCAAGTCGAAACAAATATCTTAATTTGAATATGCACATTACTTTCCATTTGAATTTTTAATTTAAAAGCAGTTAGAGAAACAACTAAAAATTCATTGTGAATTTTCGGGTTGCTCTGATTGAAGTGGTTCAGCCGGAATTGTATCACAACTGATTGAATGCAAGTGCTTCCCGCAAATGGCCAAGGCCAAAAACCGGCAGCCGATTTCAAATCTGCATATACATACAGTATCGGTCATATCTATAGCACGCCATTTCAAAGTGATATTGTGTGCCACTTATGTTTATTTATTTATTTTTAAGAATTTTCAATTAAAATACAGTTCTTTCTCTAACAAACCCCATATAAACCCAAGTTTAACGATTTGCAGAAAACTTCAAAAAAGTGCAACAAATTTTCACCTAAGTTTCAAGCTTTTTTCTCGGCAGTGTTAGAATTTTTTCGAGTGCACAGTTTTTTAGCCACTGCAATTTTAGTCTGATAACGTGCAAATTTCAAGTGTCTACGAATTACCGTTAATTTTTTAGAATTTTTTTTGTCGCATTGGCTTCCATATAATGAATAAACTCAATTTATTTGTATATGGATGAAAACCGCAACACCTTTGGCGAAAAAAATTCTAAAAAATCAACGGTAACTTTCAGTCACTTGAAACTTGCACATTATCAGACTAAAACTGATTGGGCTAAAAAACTGTGTACTCGAAAAAATTCTAACTCTTCCGAGAAAAACATTTGAAACTTAGGTGAAAATTTGTTGCACTTTTTTGAAGTTTTCTACAAATTGTTAAACTTTGGTTTATATGGGGTTTGTTAGAGAAAGAACTGTATTTTAATTGAAAATTGTCAAAAATAAACAAATAAACATAAGTTGCACACAATATCACTTCGAAATGGCGTGCTGTAGATATGACCGATACTGTATGTAGGTATTTATATCGTCACTTGAGGCTGGAAAGGTGTCAAGTCCATTTTTTTTTAATTGTTCAGGAGAGACGAAAAATCGATGTAGTTTCGTATTATCTGCCATTCTGCATCAAAAACTAAATTTTGAAAAAAAAAAATGACTTGGCACTTTTTCACCTTTAGGTAGCGATATACATACATATCTCGTGCTTCCTTCGACAATCTAATACAGTGATAGAATTTTGCACAGCCATCAAATTTTGTCCGGAAAAAACTATAGGTAAGAAAAACGCCTAAACCAGCTGGAGATGATAATATGCCATGAATAAAATGCCATTTATTTGTGTTTTCATCGATAATTTACATATAATCGCGGTAAAGAAGTTTGGTACCAAAAGAACGTAATAATGTATTTCTGTTTTGGTTAACGTTAATTAACAGAATATTAAAAAATGCGTTTAATCACCTTTTAAATGATAGCTTTATGGTATTTGTAGAAAACTGAACAGCAACGAAAAGCCCCAAAATCTTAGACTCCTCTTTCTCGGAACACAAGCACTTTAATACATAAAGGTTTTATAATTTAGTATTATTTTAATCGTTTTCTTTTTTTATTTTCGCATCGAAATTTAGCCGCGTGCACGTCCGTCTCGCAAAATGTCGTTGAAGTAACTAAAAGTTTCTCCGAAGCACCTTAAACCGCTTCCTAAGCTTTATTGGCAACAACGCGAAACATACCAGCCCCGGCGATAACGAAAACAACGAAACCGCACAACCAACGTGGTCGTCGTCGTCATGACCAACATCGTTATGATGATCATTAAAGAATCATTATTCAATTTTCAATCGCCCAAGTTGTTTTGGTGAGAGACTCCAGAGCCGTTGAGCGCCTCTAGCGTTTCAATTGCGGTTCAGTGATCGGACTTATACCACATTGTGGTCGATCTGCTACTTTTCTGAGCATCTACCACATCTACCACTCAAGGTCTGAAATCTACCACATATTTGCGTTTTTGAGTAGTTTCATTTTTGCTCGACATAATTTCCTTAATTGGAAGAGCGGAAATTGTCCAATTATAAACACTGTATGGTAACAAGAATGATATAATACAAGATTCCGCATTCCCATCGGTGATGAAATTGCTCAAGTAATAGTAAACAAAGCCGAATGGGAGGATAAAATAAACTGTAAATTGGTAAATTTTCCCAATAATATATTTTTAAAATGCAAAATATATGATTTACAAAAAGGATTAGTAGCGACAATGTTAGAAAACGGCGATTTTTGTGAAAGTATTGGCAAATTTAAGTGCATCTAAAGTTTCTGGGGCGTTGTTTACTTTTACTTGAGAATTTTCAAAATCGGTAAATTTCAAGTAGCGGTTTCTGCAACGTACCACATTAGTTCGCTACATCGCGATGTGATAAAAAGAAAAGCTGGCATCACTCTGCAAGGTTGCAGAAATCTCTCAAAATATGTTCGAAAGATATCTTGATATGGAAAAAACTGCTTTACACTGTCAAGGAGAAAAATTGCCAAAACTCAACGCAATTTTTAGGAACTTTTTTTTTTAGAGTCTAAATAAAAAAGTTTGCAATTTAGATGAAACTTTGCAGAATTTTTTTAATTTTTGTACAAAGTTTGATCTAAAACCTGAGATTTACCACATTTTTTTTTGAAATCTCCACATTTTTTTCCAGATTCTACCACACAGAATTTTTTTTTGAAGTCCGATCACTGTTGCGGTTGCCAAAGATGTACGTATTGTACATATGAATGTTGTAATCGTTTTGGAAGTTGTTTTGGCTATGTGATCGACTGATTGTTAGTTCACGTTGCTAAAAAAAACTCACGAAATACACCCGAAGCAAAACTTAGTGTAGGTTGTAGGCAGGGTCGAGTACAACAAGAAAATAGGATCTATATGTGACCTGGTCTACGAAAAGGGAGCTTACGTGCGAAAACTAGTTTTCTGTGAAAAAGCTGTTAAAAGTAAGCAACTCGTTTCGTCAGTTTCTCATTATCTCGTTAATTGTTCTCCGCGCCGGACGTCCAGTAAGTGTTGTTGTTGGTCCAGTAAGTGTTGTTGTTGGTC